TTTAGCAAATACTAAGACCACGCTTGCCGTCCTCATTCTACACCCACTCACTTGCCAATGTTACTCAAAGGCTGTAACTTACTGTAATTCCCAAAGAGAGAAATCTGCAACTTTCACAAGCCAAAAAAACACCAGGAAAAAAAAAAAAAAAAAAGTAGTTCAATATTTTGTGAGGCTGCACAGATTGATACCTGAAAATAGTCAAAACAAGTAACTTACAAATTAAAGATTAAATAAGTTTTGCAAAAGTAAGCAGAGATGCTGACAGGAATGCTACAAGGAATGCTGCAGCCACATGCTGTCTGCTTCCTGAGGCGTCCATATTCAAGTTAGATTTCACCTGCCTCATCCTGTAGTATTTGTAACTGCCCTTCAGGCTTGATCAAAGGACAGCACTGATTTACTAAGGAAATAAATCACCACCATATGGTAAAGGAGACTGTGTAGCCAGCTGTTGGGATTTTCCAGGAGGCGTTTAGATTTCCTATCCAACTGTTAATCACGTGCTTCAAAGAAACATGTGAACATCATCTGCTAGAGCTACTAGGATAAGAGTATTCTGAGTTGGAAGGGACCACAAGGACCATGGACTCTAACTTCTGGTTCACAAAGGAGCAGTCAGAATTAAAATCCTATGTCTGAGCCCTGGGCAGCCACCGCCCTGTGGTGCAGCAGCTGTCCCTAACCCCCAGCTGCCCTCCCCTGACACAGCTCCATGCCGTTCCCTTGGGCCCCGTCGCTGTCACACAGCGCAGAGCTCAGCGCTGCCCCTCCGCTCCCTGCGAGGAGCTGCAGCCGCCATCAGGCCTCCCCTCAGCTCCTCAGCTCTGTGCTGAGCAAACACAGGGACCGCAGCCGCTCCACATAGACGGTTCCCTTCTAGACCCTTTCCGTAGCCCTCCTTTGGACACTTTCTAACAGTTTTCTGTCCTCACGTGGTGGCACCCAAAGCTGCACACGTGCTCGAGGTGAGGCCACAGAGCGCAGAGCACAGCAGGACAATCCTTTCCGTCTCCCAGCTGGCAGTGCTGGGTTTGATGCACTTCTTTCAGCCCTTTTGGATTCTGGGTCACACTGCTGACTCTTCTTCAACTTCTTATCAACCAGAATCCCCAGATCCCTTTTGCTGGGCTGCTCTCCAGTCTCTCATCCCCAGTCTGTATATATATATCCAGGGTTGCCCCACCCCATGTACAGAATCCAGCACTTGCTCTTGTTGAACTTCATGTGGTTGGCAATTGCCCAGCCCTCCCATTTGTCAAGATCTCTCTGCAAGACCTCTCCAGCCTCAAGGGGTCAACAGCAGTTAATTTAGCGTTGTCTGCAAACTTAGCGTGCATTCAAATTCTGCATCCAGATCATTGACGAAAACACTGAAGAGAACTGGCTCTAGAATTTACAGTAGTAATTATTTTTTTACAAGATTTAGCACAGGGATTCCCAAAGGGTGTGCTACTGCAGCAGGCTGTGTGCTTTGTCTGCCCTCAGCAACTGAGCTGGCTCCTAGCAGAGCTAAGCAGTCCCAGGGAGCTGTGGACTCGTACAGGCCTATGAACTAGAGGAGAAAACTGGAAGATAGCCATGTGCTGCTACTTCTAGTCCTCACAACAAGAAGTTTTCTAATCTAATATCAAAAGTCAGTAAAACAGTGATTTCTATTTGAGTCAATTTACTGTTTTTTCTTTGCCTCTGCATTGACACCTGTAATCCTGTTCCTAATTTCCACCGCTTGCTACCATCGTGCTGAATCATTTCTCTCAAGTAGGAGGATATCCAAAAATGACAGCAGAGTTTGAAAAATTAAGTGAGCACACCAAAATAGGAGCATGGGTACACAAGCCATACCAATGGCAGATTAACTGCTGCTATCTAAAATGTTCTTGCCTCTGCTTTCATTGTTACTCGCACGTTATTTGGACTTAGACTGTCTTAATGCTTTCAGTGTAGTCAGAGCTATTCATTGCCTTTTGAAACTCCCCAGGAATGTATCAGATAATAATACATCAGTGACATTACTAACAAGAAAAGGCCATGGACATGAGAAACATTTTACAAGATTTCAAGTATTTTCCAGCTTTCAGAACAAATGTAATGGGTAGGATACTAAAACATAGTATCACTAAAGGCCTGTTCCAGGACGGGGCCCGTTTCATTCCTTAACATATACCAGTGATCCTAGGAACGAGAATGCTATCTAAAGATAGTTCTTAGATCAGTAGCGAAACAGATCCTTACCTCCCTGTGTAAGTATACTACCTCTGTGACATCAGTCTGTTGCTAAGCTAGTCTTTTCAGCTGACTTCATTTTGTGAATGCTTGTTTTGTGATGACTGTGCTATTACATGCCTTACTTAGAAGCATAATAAAAGAACAGAAACAAGCATATCCTGAGCGGTCAAAATGCTGCATATTACAAGTATCTCAGCAACAGAGAGGAGGAAAAGCAAGCACAGGCAGTACTTCATGCATCCTTTTTGGCTTTTTCTCATGCAGCTATCTCTCTTAACTTCCGTTTGACCCTTGTGGATATCGCCTTAGAGCAGCATAAACAGACCGTGTAAGAAATCACTGCTTTTCAGTAGTGCTTCACAGGGTACTATATATTAGATTTGAAACTACTAATTCTGTGCATGAGCCTAAGAAAATAATTTTTCATCATAAGCTTAGTCTGGCATAGAGGTTGGAAACCCATTATATATGAGCCACAATGGAGAAATGACTAGATTCCAAGATTTTGACTGCAAAATGTTAAGTTTAAGTCAGAGTCTTAAGCTACTTCAACGACCAAAGTTATTTTTATTTTTGGAAGCGGATTATTGATGACACATCCCTCCAGCCCTAGGCATGCAACCTCAGCTGTCTCAACATTCCTTGCTGCCTAACTACAAAATGCATCTGATGCTCTTATATGGTCTCTTGGCTGGATTTATTCACGGGCTTCCAGTGGTTAAGAATTTTGCACCCAGTTGCAAATTGACTGGTCTCCTATAGTACAAGGATTGTAGGGAAATGTGGCTGTGGATGGTCAGCAATAGCTGTACTTGAAAATGCTTGGAAATTCTCCCTCAATAACACATATTCCTAAGCAAGTATTCTCACAATACATTTTCCTGTGGCCACCCCCATCAGAGAAACTTGCGAACAGCACACCCACACACTACAACAAGGAACAAAGCAGCTACACTCTCCTGTTTGCCTGGCTCTTGAGAAATTAACAGCAGCAGACTTTAGGTTAACAACTTCCTCTCAAGGAGAATACAAGGTTCCTTTTTACCTAGGTTTTATTTAAAATTGTAAAATTTCAACTTATTTCCAGCAGAAAAATCCAAGTGGTTTGTTTGCTGCTTACTGAGCCCAGCATACCAACATCTAAAATTTACCAAGATGATGAGATCAGGAAAATAATGGCTCAGAGACTTGCTATTTCTAATAAAAGAGGAAAAAACAGACCTTCCAAATCCTAAACCATTTGGCCAGAGGAAAAAAACAAATGCCAACAAAATGAAGGTCTATCCTTAATGCAGGCTGCTTGTACGTACATACAATATTGAATGACAAGATTGGACCAAGTGACAGCCTAACTACTCCTCAGTTTAATATTACATAGCAACGTTTCAACAATACAATGTTTTCTTCATCTCAACACTTCCTCTGTGACAGGAGCATTGCAGGTGAAAATTTTGACACAAAACTGCCTTCTGAAAAAAAGAAAACTGAAAATAAGTCAGCTGTTGGTAGACTCATTCAGGCACTCCACAGAGAAACACCATAGCAACCATACTCAAGAGGAGGGAGATAGTTTAAATACAATCTTTTGAGGAAAAGAGCAGCTGTGGCACTCTAAGGCAGTATAGTGAAGCATGTTTTGGCTAGGAGGAAGAAACAAACTGAGGCTAAGTGACAGGTAGCAGATAAAACGGAAGTAGGAAAGCAGTAGTTAAAACCAATTATAATTAAGCACAGAAGTGGAAGAAACCACCCAGGAATGAACATCAAAGTATTCTTACTGAATGTACTTTGTAATAGTAACTTATTTAGAAAGTTAGAGCCAGATCATTTTCAAGAACTGCCACCATCCCAATATAAACCAAAACAGAAGGCAAGCCTTCCATACCACATAGGAAACTGGACAAACATTTGCACCCTGGGGCATTTCATGCTGGCCCAGCCTTTACAAGCCCCTAAGCTAAAGTTCCTATTCTTTTGGGTCATTTAAGTAATGTGAAACAGCTCAGGAAATAGTTTATTTGATAAGAGATCTTAACTTTGATTGGTAAATATGTTGGCAAGACAAATTCCCCTTCCACCTTTTAGCTTGAAGGTGCCAAGAAAAAGAGACAAATGAAAGCATGTGGTCATTTGGAGACCTGAGAATGAACTCTTTTTTTTCATATTGAAGTCAGCTGTTTCTGTTTGAATGAATCTTGCTTGCCTGAAAGCCGTTTTATCAGTATCAGGGTAAATGAAGAAAATTTATAATCATTTAAGAAGTGAAAGGGCTTTACCTTGGATATGGTTTTGCCAAGTTAATTCTCAGCACTACTGTGCTGTCATTCTCAAAGGCATTAATTTGCAGAACAATAATGCTTTATGTAGGTTTTCTGGACAAGCATTGCTGTTAACTACCGTCAGCACAGGCACTGGCTCATAGATTTCCTAGGAATCCTAAGGAATAGGATCCTTAGGCATCCCAAGTGCTCTCTGCTTGCTATTAGGCAATTGTAACAGTCTTCCCTAACCACATCTTTGACTAACTACTCACATCAGTCAGATTTCACTGTAAAAACCTGAGATAACATTTAATCAGCTGAATTTTCAAATATCAGCATATACTGCTGCACACATTTCATAACTATGCAACGACAGCAAAGCACCATAACTATCAGGCTTTCCAGCTCAATTTGAAACTGCAAATAAAATATGATTAACACACGTGCATTTGTAAATGCATAATAGAAATTTCTCTTGACAAAAGGATGAGGTATACTTTTTTTTTTTATCTATATAGCAATCTTTATTTCAAAATGGCATTTATTACAAAAAATGTAAAAATCCAGCCAAACCAGAAACATTGAGATTATTTTCCTGGACTTAAATTCACTGATCTTTGTCCCTGTCTCCTTCTCCTTACAGTATTTTCCCCACTTCCAGTCTGATTATACAGGTGCAGTTGTGCCTAAATGGCCCGGAATAGATAAATACGTTAAGAAAGGCAAAAGTTGTAAAGCTAAATGCATGCAACAAGTCTACCAGGAAAACCCCCTCAAAAATAAACATAAATGTAAAGTAGAGAGAATCTGCAGGTGTCCAGGGATTTGCTCAGTCATCCTTGTCTTTTGCTCCATGTTTAAGGATGCGTGTAAATTCAATGTAGTTGAAATTGCCCTTTTTGTCAATTGGTGCCTCTCTGTAGAGCTCATCTACCTCTTCATCTGTGAACCTGTCTCCCATCGTGGTCAGCAGCTCCCGCAGGTAGTCTTCTTGAATAAACCCTAGAATGTGATGTAAGGGAAAACAAGAAAGAAAGTTTTGACATTTATCTCCTAAGAGTTGGATGAAATGTTTGAAACATTTCAAATTGATTTTAAATCACTGGACAAACTCACATTCACCAGACAGGTTACAAAGAACACAACTTTGGCGCTGTTTATTAAACAAGCAGACTCATATAAACTGAGATTCCATTCTTTTATCAACACTCCAATTACCATCTCTCTCTTGAATTAATTTTGTTCTCCATCAAGTGCAAGTGAACAGAGAGAATATGGATACATGTTGTTAACAGAGAACACAGTTTTCATAAAAGCATCCCAACTTTGAAAACAAGGATGAGTCCCCTAACAAAAGCTGCTGCCAAATTGAAGTTAAAGTTTGAAAATTAAGACCACTGTTCCCAATTAACATTTTCTCCATCATAAACAACAAATCTGAAGAAGCAGAGAGATGGGATTTTAAGTGTTACAGTGCTGAAAAAGGTAATTTCAGCTGCTGAGGAAACACAGCCTAATTTTTAGCTTGCAGAAATAGAAATTTCATAGTGAAAATTGATCACTGCTTCTACAAACACAAGTATTTATCGCTAATTATCACCCACGTACCTGTTGCCTCTTCGTCAAAGCAAGCAAAAGCATTCCTGATGACATCTTCTGGATCAGTGCCATTGAGCTTCTCACCAAACATTGTGAGGAACATTGTGAAGTTGATGGGGCCTGGAGCCTCGTTCATCATGGCATCCAGGTATTCATCCGTTGGGTTCTTTCCTACAAATAAAAAGATTCCTGGTTTAGCTTTCAAACTAAAATAAAAAAATAAATAAAAATCAGCTGAATAGCGTAATACAAACTGGGACACCTCTCATAAGCTATCCCAAATTTAGCATTTTAATTTCAATAGCACAAATACGTTTGGCAGCTTTAAACAGAAGAGAGACGTTACCGAGGGAGGCAAGCATGTCGTGCAGGTCCTCCTTGTCAATGAAGCCATCCCTGTTCTGATCAATCATGTTGAAGGCCTCCTTGAATTCCTGAATCTGGGACTGATCAAACATGGCAAATACATTGGACGTGGCGCGCTGAGGGCGCTTCTTGGTGGTCTTCGTCTTTGCTCTTTTGCTAGACATGTTGGCTGTTGGCTCTAGAGAGAAAACACAACCAAAATTTTAACTAAATAAATCACACTAAAAGATCTTAGGGAGAAAGATGAGTAAAGGAAAATTGAAAGCCACATTGTAGTCAAATAACAAGAAATACAACTGAGATAATACTTCAAATCAACAGCATACGACGTTTTAAATAAAGCAAGTCATAGTGTTGAAACCAAGCTCACCTGGCGCTTCTATTTCTGATTCACTACCCCATCTGCCTCTTATACAAATTAAGATGATCTATTTAGCAGGTTAGGAGGTATCACTGACCTACAACAAAGAAGGACATAGGGGTCTGCTACCCTCAACATAGTATCTAGCAGTTAAATATATCAAGCAAGATTAACTAACACTTAGGAGGCAAGAATGTATTTTAGAGTCTGAGTAATATTTTATTAGAATAACTGCTGTGGAAGGAACAGTAAGGTCTCACGATGCTGAGTGACCCTGATGAAAGAGCAACGTTTTTGGGAAGGTTGTTGACCAGCACTGGGGTCAGGGTGCTGGAACAAAGATCAGCCAAGCCAGTTCTACTGGAGTTCTTTCCAAGTGAGCTAGAGGATCATGTTAGAAAAAGGATACTGACTTGGTTCAAAAGCCCTGCATTGCTAATCCCTTATTCAGTTTAACTATTACAGAAATATGTATACAAATGCCAGGATACTTTCTTCTTTTTGATATTAATGACTTAGCAGTTCAAGTCCAAGGATTGTTTCTTTTAAATTATCAACATTTAAAAACATTTTAGTATTTGCATAAATCTTTAAGCAGTTCTGTGTACTACAAGTATATGAATGTCACTGTCTCCCTTGAGCTGTCAAATGAAGAAGCTAACAAGTAGTATCTTGCCTCTGAGTGCATTCATATCACCTGGGTAGAAATGAAGCTTTCAGGCTAACGGCTTCTATTTAGGTGGAAAGATACACATCTAGGAGCCAGCTATTACTGATAATACAAATATGAAAAAGTGACTCAAACAATGAGAATTGAACACAAAGACCTCAGTATTGCTAGGGACCAGAATAAGGTAAGCCTAGTTTACTACTGTTTCTGGAAGTCCTGCACACATCTAGGCCTTAGTTTAGGCATAATAAAAGACCATATGTGTATTTAATGCAAATAACCCACACAGCTAAGTTTTACCTTAACCAGACACCTCCCCTTCTTGATTTTGGATTTTACATAAAGTACTTGCAACAGCTATCCTGAGAGAGAAGGAATTTAAGCATTACTTCCAGTAAATTTCACAATATTGACATTTTTGTGACAATGTCTCACCAAGTATTGATTTTATAACTTCCTTTTCAAAATTATCTTCTTGGAAATGCAATTCTAATTAGAGTCACAGTGACTTCTAGTGACTTCAAGGAATTTACTCACAAGTTACATTTACCTGCTAGACTCCTGAAAAGCAAGGCTGAACTCACTAAACTGACTTCCTCCCTAAGTAGTACAATAAGCAGAGCAGCTCTCTTATGTGGTCAGTCAATCTAATACATACACAAAATGCAGTTACCTTTGGATTTTGCTGTTTTTAAAGGAAAGGCATTTTACCTTGCTTCATGTCAGGTACATGGCATGCAGTACCAGCTGTCTGGATCAGAAAAGGATATTCCATAGTTATGTCCTTCCCCACACGACTACAAAGAACGTTACTGACCTCCTCTTCTACTTCCACCCTTTTAAACCTCAGGTTGATACACAGCGTCCTTCTGACGTATAAAACAAACCATTATGTCCCAAACTAAAAATAGCTGATGAAATGCAACTGTGCATCAGTCGGCAGCACTGAGGTTGTCTGCATTACACTCGCTGAGCGCAAGCTATCTGAAACGCCTGGCCTCCAGCAACGTTTCAGCAAATAAATATGAACTCCTGACATCTAGATATGAGTGAAGGCAGCTGACAATAAAGGGAGTTCACTTTCAAGCTGCAGTCAAGAGTTGTGTGCACCTTTTTTCTACCTGAGTAAAAATACCCATAATTACTGTTAAACTCTGAATAACCAGAAAGTTCCACTGTACAAAACAATATCCACTACTAACTGTTCTCTGAAAATAAAGAGCAGGCAATATTCTCAAAGCTACGAAAAGTAAACAAAAAGCACATTTTACTTATATGCTATTTTTTAAGTTTCTCTAAACCAAATTTGGGAGGCAGCCACAGAGAATAGAGAGAACACAACTCTTACACTCAGAGACCTCTGAGTGTTAGTCTGTGTATGGAGAAACATCTCATAGGACTGGTGCAGCTATGCCTGAAATAGATCTGCATGTAGCTCTGGGAAATTCCATTAGAAACAGGGCAATAAATTGGAACATGTTCAGAAAAAACAAGGCCACCAATTCAGCCAGCCAAAAAGATCAACTTGTGATGGAAAAGGTTCCAAGCGCTTGTGCTTAGCGTTATCTCTGTGTGTACAGCAGTGAATGACAACGAATGAGAACTTCATTGGAGTCAAGCACAAGACTCACTAATCTGGGCGAGGACGGGACTTCATCTGACAAACTCACTGGATCATTTCTTAAAAATAAAATATAAAATAAATCATACTACTGGAATTGAGAGAGCGTAAGTTCAGACTGAAAACAAAATATATCAGTAGATAAAATGAATGGAAATACTTCATGCTGGATAGCACAAGTCATGACACACATAGTTTCATCTGTTTAATGCAGAGCATCGATCTGTCTGGGCCTTGTTTTGGAAAGTGAGAAACTTCTAATCTAAGAGTTTGTGTCCTTCAAACAAGATATTTCCAACAACTTTTCTTTACGTGTAAAAATCTTCCTAAATAACTCAGTACATTGCAGACACTAGACTAGAGAGGCAGTAGCAGCACTGTCGTGCTTTGTGCTACTTGCACATGCACTTGCTTAGGCGTGCAATGGATAACAAGCTACAGAAACAAAGGAAGTCATCTTATGCTCCTCCTCTCTGGGGAAAAGATAAACCCCAGGAAATAAAGCTGAGCAAGTAAACAGCTTGAGCCAGGCAATAATAGAACTTGACATCCCATTAATGGTAACATTAATCTGTTGAGAGACTCTGCCCAAAAGTTTTGCTGCAGAAAATAGCTTAGTGTTTTCAACATTTTCTTTATAATAATGATGAATGCCTATCATTCAAAATAAAATCAATCACAGTCACTTATAAAGTCTCGTTTTAAAAGTTAGTGCTGACTTCTATTGTAACACTTATTTCAGAACATTATTACTCTAGGATATAACAGCCACCTTCTCTTCAATCATCAAGCTCAAAAGTCATCCTCAAAGCTGCCTCCCAGGTTTTATCCATGCAGTTGGTTACAGCATCAGGCATAGCCTGTCAGCTCTCAGGGCTTGGGGGGAGTCTGGAAGAGCCAAAGTGCCCAGCACACTCCACAGCAGCTCTGTGTAAAAGCTCCATGCATACCAGACTGCACTTGTCCAAAGAACTTTGTTAGCTCACCTAGTCTTGAAGGCCATCTCAATATTTTCTTTCTTAATAAGAATTCCTGACTACTTCTCCTATAGGTTGTAAAACTTGCTGTGATACTTTGTTTTCATGACTGACCCAACCCTCCCTTCGCAGGGTAGAGTGAAAACCACAGTGATCTGTCACAATCAATCAATCAATCAATCACAGAATCATAGAAGTTGGAAGGGACCTCTGGAAATCATCCAGTCCAAACCACCATTAAAGCAGGCTCCCTTACAGCAGGTTGCAAAGGAAAGCATCCAGGTGGATTTTAAATACCTCCAGAGAAGAAGACTGCACAATCTCTCTGGACAGCCTGTTCCAGTACTCTGTCACTCTTACAGTAAAGGAGATTTTTCTCATGTTCAGATGGAAGTTCCTGTATTCCAGTTTGTACCCACTGCCCCTTGTCCTGTTGCTGGGCACCACCAAAAAGAGCCTGGCCCCATCCACTTGACTCCCACCCTTTAGATATTTATAAGCAGTGGTAAGATTCACCTTAGCCCTTTCTTCTCCAGGCTAAACAGCCTCAGGGCTCTCAGCCTTTTCTCATAAGATGCTCTAGGCTCATCATCATCCCTGTGGCCACCTTCTGCCAGACTCTCTCTAGAAATTTTCTGTCTTTCTTGAACTGAAGAGCCCAGAACCAGACAGGGCACACCAGATGTGGCCTCACTAGGGTGGAGCAGAGGGGGAGGATCACTTCCCTCGACCTGCTGGCCACACTCTTGTTACTGCACCCCAGGATTCCATTGGCCTTCTTATCCACAAAAGCGTACTGCTGGCTCACAGCCAACCTATTGTCTACCAGCACGTACAGGTCCTTCTCTGCAGAATTCCTTTCCAGCAGGTCAGCCCCCAACTTGTTCTGACACATACAGTTATTCCTCTCCAGACGTAGGACTTTGGGCTTGCCCTTGTTGATCCTCCTCAGGTTCTGCTCTGCTGAATGACAGCACAGCCTTCCGGTGCGTCAGCCTCCCCTCTCAGCATCACATCATCAGCAAACTTGATGAGAGCGCACTCTTATCTTCTCATCCAGGTAACAAATGAAGACGTTAAATGAGACCAGCCCCAGCACTGATCCCTGGAGAACACCAGTGGCCACAGGCCTCCAACCACTGTGCTGCTGATCACAGCCCTCCGAGCTCTGCCAGGCAGCCACTTCTCAGTCCACCTCACTGTCTGCTCTCTGCCCTGCGCCCTCTGAGCTTACCCATGAGAACGTCATGGGAGGCTGCCCCTAGCAAATTCGTATAGCCGTAACTACTCCAAAACATAAGCACGAAAGCAAAGACAGCCTCTTTCAGATATCCCAAGCCTTTCCAGCTGTGCGAGCTGGAAGAGCGACGAGGAAACGTCTGGAGAAGGGCTGCGGGGCAGAGAGGCCGCCGGTCCTCCCGCAGCCGTGCCCGCAGAAGCAGCAGCGTACCCTTACAGGGTGGCCCTTACAGCAGGCCCCGCTGCTCCGCGTTCAGCCTCAGCCCCCAGCCCGGCGGCAGGCCCCGCTCCCCGCCGCCCCTCGCGGGCTGCCCGAAGCCCCCATGCCTTTGCGGCCTCACCTGGCGGTGGCGGCACCGGGTCCGGGTCAGAGCGCGGCGATGCGAAGCGGCGGCTGCGGCACTTCCGGACAGCGAGCGGCCGCCGCCCAACCGGTACACAGGAAGGAAAGCACGGGCGAGACCATCCCCGCCGGGGCGGAGGGGGCCCGCGAGGCTCGTCGCTTCAAAGCGGCGCGGCACAGCGCGAGGGATCTCATTACGCTCTCCCGCTCGGCGTTTGGCCGCCCTCACTGCGGTCTTCTGAAGTCCGAGAGCCCGTTCTCTATCCGCTCGACCCCCCCGCGCTGAGCGCAGTCTTGGTGCGGCGCGGTGCGGTCACCGCATTCCAGGGCGCGGGGGGCGGAGGCAGAGCCGCGTCTGCCCTTGTAAGGCAACGGCGGGAGTTTCCTGCCGGCGGGGCGGGCCGCCGTGTCCCCACAGCGCTACACCGCGCCCTGCGGCGCCTCCTGCGGGAGGAGGGCGAGGTGGCTGCCTCGTGGGCGGAGCGGAGCTCGGCTGTTCCCGCTTCCTGACAGAAAAATCAATGTTCTCAGCTGGATACCCAGGGTGGTGCAGTACGGCTGGCAACCGGCTTACCCTGCACCTAGCAGTAGCATGCGTATAAAGATATAGGGATACCTGCGGTCTGTATCTAAAGCGCGTGGGTGTGAGTAGTGCTTACACCATGCAGCGCTCATACTTGTGTTAAATATTAACATCGTGAGCAATACCTAACAGACACACCACGGAGGACTTCAGACTGTAGTCTGCCTTACCAGAACCATATTTGCTTCATTGCCGTTGGCCTTTCACGTGATCTTTTTCACAAATCTTAATGAGAAAATGCATGCAATCTTCAATTTCAAGTACTGTGCAGTTTAGAGAGTCACCAGATTCCAAACATCTTTAAGAAATGCAGACGGCAATAATACTGACTCAAGGAGGGCAATTGCTTTCATAAATACTAATTAACCATTTATAAACAAATACATTCTTTGTACAATTCTCAACAGCTCTCATCTAAACTTCTTTAGATTGCATAGAAGCTGTATTAAAAAGTTATAGGAAGTCTTACTGCTCCCTATAGTGACCTGAAAGGAGGAGGTTGTAGCGAGGATTTTTCTCCTGTGTGATTAGTGATAGGGTGAGAGGTGATGACCTCCAGTGGTGCCAGGAGAGATTCAAGTTGGATGTTAGGAAAAATTTCTTCTCAGCAAGAGTGGTCAGGCAATGGCACAGGCTGCACAGGAGGCTGGTGGATTTGCCATCCCTGGAGGTGTTCGAGAAATGTGTAGATGAGGCACTGAGGGACATGGTTAGTTGGCAATATTGGTGGTAGGCAGACAATTGGACAAGATGATCTTAGTTATCTCTTCCAACCGTAATGGTTCTGTGACTCTAAGCTTGTATGAGTTCCATTTTACAGCAACAAGTGAGAAAGACAACTAGTACTGCATAAAGGCTAAAGATGCAAGTGGGAAGGTAAAAAGTCTTTCAGTAAGGATAGTAGTTCAGGGGCCCAAATCCACTTCAGTGAGATTTGGAAACTTACACATTTTCAAAAGTCCAGTGAGCTTCCAATCTTCAGATACTTCAATAACATCAAAACCTACCTTAAAATTATTTATCTGCTACTTTCTCAGAAGCCAGAGGTCCCTAGAGGGGAAAGTTTTCCAGGGCTGCTTGTAAACTTAGTCTTGAATATGTGCTAGACTTAGCTATTCCTTCTAAGTTGCTTTCACTTCTGTGTCTGAATAATCTCACTGGGTACAGTGTGAATGGAACAACTGTAGTGGACTGTCAGCATGGGAATGCCCATGGTGGTTTTGAGGGACAAAGGTCTGGCTTCCTAGACTTCCTTGATCACTGCTATCATGTTTTGTGTCTTCCATGTCTTTTCACACTCCAGTGTTATATGGTCTCCATTTGCTGCTTTTTTGGGAACTTCTCACACTGAATTATACCTCACAGTTCCCCTCCATGGAAGTGATCTTAATGTCAGTCCAGGTTGGCAATTACAGCCCTAAATGAATTATATAAATTTATGAAGATGAGTTTGCAGCCAGCAATTTCCTGGCCTTGTGGAAATAAAGGTCCAGAATCTCTTATCTTTTTATCAGTGTGTCTCCTCCCCTGTGAGAATGCATTTTACTGGGAGAAGCATACATTAATGAACCTCATGCTCCACAAATTTAAATGTTATTCAATGAGATCTAGGGCATTCAAGGAAACAAAAGCTGAGCATGGTCTTCAAGCAGATCATTTAGCATTTATCAGTTTATCTAATGCTTCTCAAGTGCATTTCTCTCTCTCTAGAAACAAAACAATTACCAAATTAGTTAGTATAAAAATAACTTAATACATTTGCAGCACAGGTCAGGAGAATATGTGCTTGTATGGTATTTGTTTACATAAACAATAGCATGGTTAGTCTCTTGCTACATACAAAGAAAATCAATAAAAGACACTAGACTTTCTTACATTCTGAAAACCACCAATTCTGACAGTCAGAAAAGAAGGCATGTGTTCTAACGTGGTACAGATTTCAGCAATTGATGTACATCTTGCACATCATAGTGAAGAATATGAGGTGGTTAAGCAGTGCAACTCCAGCTGAGGCCAGGTGGGAATGTGGCCCTCCACCTCCCTGGCCCATGAAACTGTGCCTGTGGAGAAGCTGCAAGCACTGCTGCTTTCTTCATGCAAGCAGGGTTGCTTTGTCCTTGTTGTCTGCTTACTTCTTGCACAACTGAGTTAGAAGTCCCAGTCTTGGGGGACATCCTAAGTGTCATCCCACAGCTGAAGTAAAGAAATATTTTGAACATGGAAAGTGACATCAGTGCACTTGAAAACAAACCAAAAGTAAGAACTGCTGAGTCTGAGCTGCCATTCTTGCACAACATGAGGCCATGAATGATAGCATGAAAGATGTCAGAAGAGTTCAAAAAAGAGACTTATGCAGCCTATGACATAGAATCATAGAATCACAGAATAGCCTGGTTTGGAAGGGAACTTAAAGCCCACCCAATCCTACCCCTTGCCATGGGCAGGGCTGCCCCCAGCAGCTCAGCTGCCCAGGGCCCCATCCAACCTGGCCTTGAGCACCTCCAGGGATGGGGCACCACAGCTTACATGGGCAGCTGTGCCAGCGCCTCGCCGCCCTTTGAATAAAAAAATTCCACCTAACATCTGATCTAAATCTCTCCTCTTTTATCATAAAACAGTTTCACTTTGTCCTATCACTGTCAAATCATGTAAAAAATTGGTCTCTCTCCTACAACATCATCATCCTATGTCTGTCTGTGTCTATGTCTACCTATATTCTTAGTCCTCTGATCTTGCTGAAAAGCAAATAACTGCAAAATAGTGGTTAAAAATACAGCCTATTTATGTTACTGTGTAACATCAGATCTTATATTTATTTTTCTTGTGTTTTTTTCCCCATAGAGTTCTATCTTCATTCAACTGTGTAGCATTAGTACCACCATGATAAACATTTTTAGTTTGAGCGACTCTGCTTGTTTCTTTCTAACCTCACAAAGGCATCTCATTCTCACTTTCTTCCCTTGCATTACATATGAATGAGATTTGTCTTTCTGCCTGGTTCTGTTGCTGAGCCTAATGCATCAAGCGATGTCCTGGGAACTGCAAGTAACTGGGCAGTAAAAGGAAGGAGGTGGATGTCTGTTTTACTTCCAGCAGTTGTCTGCTGCTTTCCTCCTCCTTGCCTAGCCCAGGACAGAGAGACTCCACAGCAAACGCAGCACCGTGCGCACACCAAATAGCTGCCCCAGAGAACCCGATGCTGGCAGTCTGCCTCTCTGCAGGGCTCCGGCCGATACCGGCTGCCGCCACCAGGGGGAGCCCTGGCGTTGGTCAGGAGGCCGAGAGGCGGGCGGGGCTGCTGGAACACAGGGGAAGGGACACTGTGAAATGGAATTAGTCCACATTGGGCTGAATTGAGGTCTAGGGAAGGTTTCAAGCTTAGGGGGCTGGAGCACCTCTGCTACGAGGAGAGGTTGAGGCAGCTGGGCTTGTTCAGCCTGGAAAAGAGAAGGCTCTTTGCAATGTTCAAGTACATAAAGGAAGCCTATAAACGGCGGAGACTGACAACTTTTTGCATAGTCTAACAGCGATAGGACAAGGGGGAATGGATATAAACTAAAAGAAGGGAAACTTAATTTAGATATGGTGGATGGTTGGACTGGATGATCTTGGAGGTCTTTTCCAACCTTGGTGATTCTGTGATTCTAAATATAAGGAAGAAATTCTTCACACAGAGGGCAGTGAGGCGGTGGCACAGCTGCCCAGAGAAGCTGTGTTGCCCCATCCCTGGAGGCACTCAAGGCCAGGTTGGATGGGGCCCTGGGCAGCTGAGCTGCTGGGGGGCAGCCCTGCAGGGGGTTGAGGTTGGGTGGGCTTCAGGGTCTGTCCAACCCAAACCATAATGTGGTTCTATGGTTCTATTCAAGTAAGTGGGAAAGACCCTATGTGGACTCCTGGAAATGATGCTTAGTTCTTTACATGTCTGAAACAATCTATTTTTTTCCATAAATTCCTCAAAATGGTAATCTACCTTATTGTAGTAGGGCCTCCTTGGTCTGCTTCAGTGCTGCTAACAAATTTTTAGTAAAAACAGAGTCTTCAAGCTCTGGGTGTCTCAGAAGCTTCTCTGAAAACTCAGTTTTTATAACACCATGTGAAACATGGCATCACGTTTTCATCTGTAATGAAACATTAAGCAGCATCTCTGGTTTCAGTATAGGCTGGATGAGTCAGTACATGTTCATTTTATGAACTGCTCAGTATTTTTTCTGGGATGGATTTTATGGTATTTGAAACAAATACAGCAGCAACATCATGGCAATCAACAACACTTCTGTTAATTATATTTTATTATTGTTTAATGAAATTAATCTGATTGTTTTCAGAAGGGGTACTTGGGGAAGTGCAGTGTGTCAGAGCTGGCCTACAACTCAGATGAGGTTTGCAGATCTTCCTGTGTGTCTGGGTTGAATTTAGAACTGGCCAGAAGGAAATTTTGAATAAATCTGGATTGAATAAAATACCCAAGTGCTTGGAAAGTATATGAAAACAAATAGTTTAGAGTAAGCAAAAAAGAAAGAAAG